TCCGAGTACTTTTTAAAGGTGAAGCAACAGCAGTTTCTTGTTCAAGAAACAAGAGCGACTTCACCAAACTAAATACAATATGAAAAACTTAAGTGGGAAAAAAACAAACAAAATCAGCAAAGAATATCTTCCAACTCAGCAGCCTCCACAAATCGTTATTTCTCCCTCTGTTCCTACCTGGTCTGAAGTAACACTGCTTGTTCAAAACACTAGGGCTATAGTCAGATCAATCAGGAAAACTTCCTTGTATTTAGCTAACACCACCAAAAACTAATTATTACAGATACCAATAATAAAAAAGGCATTTCTCTCCATAAGAGAGATCTAAAAGTAGACAGACAACAAGCAGACTTAAACAATTTTATCAGTGGTTGATTTATTTCAGCTTTCTGCTCTCCCTGGTCGCAGTTCAGTGCAATCCATAAATAAGTTAGGCTGGCGAAGGAGATTGAATTTTTGAGGCCAGAATGGTAATTGAGGAATTGAACAGTCTGGAGGTTGCAATATCATCTCCTGGGACACAAGCCTTTGGACCTATTAGCAGCTGTCTATATTGCTTTTCCAGCCATTGACAAATATGACCATGTCAACATATTGAACTGATTTATGTCCCTTTGTGTCACAAAAGGACAGATCTCGTGTGTTGTGGGCGCCATCGCGCTGTTACTCTAAAAGTAAGAACATCTCAAGTCAGTTAGCTACGTAAATTACAACACATGCCAACATTTTCCTGCAAACTAAAAGCTGCCAGTCACCATCAAATTTCTCTCAGGAACTGTTTTTCAATATTTAAACGGCATCCAACCAAATCTAATATTCAGGAGATTAGGAAAAAAGGTTGAACAAAGCTTTTAAGCTGCAAGCTTTTACAGTATAGTTACAAGGAAAAAATAATCTCATTCCAAAATGTGTTTACTCTATCTAACACCTTTTGTTTCTCAGCTAGTTTGCCAAATTACTGTTATCCACAGAATCGCAAAGATTTTTCCCTTGCCAAGTACTAAAAAGTCAGATCTTTCAAAAATATGGGAAGGCCCAATTTCCTGTGAAGAAAATCTGCCCCAGTTCAGCATAATTCAATTAAACAGCAGTAATTTTCACTTTTTCCACACTGTATTTGTCAGCACTTGCAAAAGAAAGACTGAAAGGGAAGCCTGAGAATGTTTTTGCTTTTTTTCCTTAAAAACAAAACAACAAGCAAACCAAAAAAAACCCACCATCACCCACCACTTCCTTTTTTCAGTCATTCTCTCAGGAAATTTCACAAGAAAAGAAGAGACTCCACAGAAAACCAAAGCAACAAGCAATGGAATGCAAAACCAATCCATGACCAAAGACAAAAAGAAGTATCTCCAGGTCTTACTTCATACGAAAACACGGAAATTACCTCAGCAAAAGCGTGGGCCCGCGGAGGACACCTGAGCTCTTCATGGGGCACAGCAGTTCTTTCATCAGGGTGGCCTCGGGGGCTGTTTTAGCTCAGGAACGCGCCCTGCCCCACCCAGCAGCTCCGTGCCACCTTCACATCGCTGCTCCTCTGCAGCTGGCCATAAACGCACATTTGATTCACAGATCAGTACGTGGAAATAAATACTTCTTTCCCTCCCTCCCTAATATAGCATCCCATGAAACCTAAAGCAAATGTTATTTCTAAGATGGCGTCACTCAGCACTGGCCACTGGCTTCCCAGGTGTGACAGAAATGGTTCCTCACACAGCACCCCAAGCAGTTGGGTTTTGGATAGTTATGATGATAATCACATGCTAAAAAAGAATGAAACTTGATAAAAGATCTAAAAGGCATCACTGGGCTCTAAGGGCAGGGCTGTAAACCCCACAGGGGCTGCAGGCCTGCTCAGAGCTCTGCAGCATGAGGAGGTGAGGCAGCAGCCACAACGTGCTAGCACGAGGTTAACCTTCTCTGAAAACAAAGCCAGCATTTAACTTGAAATCATTAAAGTGATGGATTAAAAAGGGAAAGGGGAAATATGAGAAAAAGTCACTTCATAAATCACTATTCAAATCCACATTTCCACCTTTTGCACAGTCTGTAAAAAAGAAATACATCTGGTTTTGTTTTGTAAGAAAAGATGACAGCAACTAAAACTAAAAAGCATTTCTTAAAAATAGAGTATAACATTTGTTCTGATTGAGCCCATCAAACTTTGTTTTCAAGAAAGGCTCCCAATGGCATCAAGTACAAACACAAAATGGTAAGTTTGATGGATCTAGTAAATGCCAAGCAAGACGGACTGTATACTGGCATTGTTACTAATCAATAAATGATTTTTTGATTAATTATTGAATCAAATGGACACATCATCTGCCATGTAACAGACCATACTCGCCGCACCTTGTACTCCACTCCTACTAGACCTCAACACAGACAGGATCACCAGTTTGGACATATGACACTAAAACAGGGATCCCTGATGAGCATATGCTGTGCTGCTCATTAAATACCGTCTCTCCAACTTGCTATTGAAGGGGGAACCAATGGCAGGTCCTGTCTCCCCAAAGGACGGGGCACTGTTCGGCCCCAGAGACAGGCGGCAGATGAGGGCTTCCCATTTGCACATCACTGCACTCCTCCTCAAGCCAGCGTCTGAGCTAGAACCATTCCAGTGGAAAGAGGAATCCTTTTACTGCCTGATATTTGGCATTTATTTCTCCACGACCATCAGAATACTGCTCAGTTGGACATTTTCATCCTAAGTCTTGTAAACAAAATCCAAAATCTAAAGGAATTTTCAGTCAACTTTGGCTTAGGTGAAAATTTTCATCCTAAGTAAGCAAAGAAAATGACAGCTCTTCACCAAAATGTCTTTCAATAAGAACAAGTCCTATTAGAAATGTGGTTTGACAGCCAGCCCCAGAAAGAAGAAAAAGCAGCTCCTGGGTAAGGTCTCTGCACGCAGTGGGTTCTGCAGAGATCGGCAGGACGGAGGATCACCAGCCCCATGTTGTTCTTCAGCTGCAGTTGTGCCCCCCTCACCATGTGCTGTCTCAGCAGAACCCTGCTCCAGCTGACACAGACAAGAGAACAGGACACCATAGCAATTAAATTTAAAAAAAAAAAAATTAAAAAACCCACAAGAGCACCTTCAGAACGGGTGCTGTAAGCATGTTACAACAAATTTTTAAACTCAACTACCTCCTATGTACTCACAAGGCATACATGGCAGGCTACAAGTCTCTGCTTCCCAGG